AAGTGTGCATGCACCACATGTTTTTTTCAACTGTTAACATAACGTATTTTCTCAAAAATATCGATTGCTCTCGATAAATTTAAGTAATTATTTACAAATATTGTAATTTTTAGTTTTTAAAAGCTTCACTGAAAAATAACTTTTTTATAAATTTTAAGGTATTAAAAGTTTTAATTTCTAAAGAGATTAAAAAAATATAGTAAAGCAACATATACGTGAGTGACCATAAATATGAGTATAATAATGAGTATAATAGTAATAATAATTATCCATAATAGTATATTTTATCGGAATTTGTCCAATGTTAGAAAAGTGTAACAGTATTTCAAAATCGCATTTTACTTTTTATATCATAAAAATATATATTATTGCCACCCGTTGCATGTATTCTCTACTTGTGAACATATTTATCTAATTAACTTAACAAAAATATCCAAATTTCAAATTAATTGCAGAAATAACTTGAACAAATATAGAGTTTCGCCTTATTGTTAGTAAACATCTGAATCGGCTGATTTGTTATTTAATTATTGAAATGACGAAGGGTAATCATAATGTTTACAAATTAGATCTATGATTGCAAGTAATTTTCATGCAGTATGTATTCCTTAGTACAGCAGAATTTGTTTTTACAAGGCTTAGCTTATTTTCTGGACTAAGCAAGGGAAAATATTCCCTCTATCAGGGGGCGTCCATTAATCACGTGAGCGAGTTTTTAAGGATTTTTGGACCCCCCCTCCCCCTTGGTGATACATGGTGATATTCAAAAGTAACCACCCTCCTCCACCAATCATCACGTGTATTTTTAGGTACGTGCAAAAACTGTAAAATCTTAGAATTTTTTTTTGAAAATGTTTGAACTTTTTTAATAAAATTAGTTAAAAATAAACGCCCCCTTACAGTAATAATGATTCATCACACCAATGTGGGACAACTGTTAGGGTTGCCATCCATAGAACAGACTAGTATTAAGTCAAATCAGCTTATAGGACTCTCAAATTCTGATTGCTGTTCAAAATAATATATAAAAAATTGGACTATTGAAGGCTACGTGCATCAGAACGTACTCTTAGTATTGCTACATAGGCTATTGTTCGGAATCATTGTTGTTCAGTTTAGCTTGCAATCAACAAACAAGTGCGGGCCTAGTTCTCATGCCCTCAGCACTCGACTAACGGTCAACCTGCGAGAGACTTTATTCACGCAAGGTGTAAATGCGCCGATGATCACTTTTTTTCATTTCGTATTCTTTACGCTCGTTAAACATCAAAAGTTATTGTTGTTAAGCAAGAAAGTATTACTGAAAATGACATAACACAAAATTCAAGAAGACGGCAGAATGATTTAGTGCCTTTATAAAGCAAATTTTTTAAAAAAAGTTAACTCTAAGGTATAATAGATCATTTGCAAGACAACGATTGAATGCCTACAGTATGCCGATTAAGTTTTCTAAATCATTATAATGTTGAAAATCTTATTCAGAATTAACACAGAATGGTGAAATGTGTTGAAATTAGGCTAAGAAATGCGTCACGATGCATTTGGCTATCCAGGAGACTCGCATCTTTAATTAGAACGTGATGACGGTGTTAAAAATAACTATATGGCTTGAATGAGGGTAATAAATCTTTCTTTCTATAAATATATAAAAGAATATTATAAACAACATAAACAATTTTTGTAAATAAATAAGAGAGTATTATAATGATAATTGAAATTATTAGATTAAAACAATGTATGAATGATAAATATAGGTAGGATACAAAAATCGAATAAATGATACGAAAATTGGCCATAATATAAATAAAATAATGATATGTTAATAAATATATACTAGGTTTGAATATTTTGTGTTATTTCTCATACCACACCTACATAGATATATAAAATTTATATTACAATAGAAAATAAAAAATGGCTTGGTAAATGAATTTAAAATACATTATATATATTTATATTTATATTTTGTTTATATATTTATATTTATATTTATACAACACAATTATATAATTATAGATATTAATGGTACATAACTTAAATTATATATATGTGTGTGTGTGTGTGTATGTATGTGTGTGTGTTTGAAGTGTTGAAATTATTATTTGAGCTCACAACCACACATAAAAAATTCAATCACATATATAAAAATTTTATTTTAACATTCTACTGATAATACTGATATAAGCTACCTCAAAAGTTCTCAAAGTTTCTTTTCGTTTTTTTAATACTAACTAAATAAAATCTAAAGTAAGTCATTAGCTAAGAATATTCCAAGATTGAAATTTTAAAATTAAAACTTAAAATTTGGAATAATATTCAGTTAATATAACATTATAGATGAAGAATCATAATACATTCTGATGGTTTGCTTTGGTAAAATGTATACAATTTTACATCAATACTGTTGTTCTAAAATCTCTGAATTTTGTTTCTTAATTTTCGCAATACATTTTCTTCCATGAGCGATTTAAGATTTATTAACTATTTCATTTCATTTTTTCCTGATGCTCTGCACTTGTTTCACACAAAAACCAATAAAGTAAGTCAATTATATTCCAAAGTAGAATTAACAACAAAATTGACTTGCAACTGACAATTCAAAGTTCATATCGGATTAGGAATTCCTTGAAGCAATCCCGTAAGTTCGGAATTTACACCATTTTTATATAATGGTTATATAAAAGAATCGATCTTAACTTTAAATAGTGGGTGTTGTTTGTATTTAAATATAATATTTAATAAGTAATATTTGGCGGGATAGCGAAGATTTTTCTTTAATTAATTGTAAAAGAATAAAGAAATTCTTAACGTGAGCATAAATATATGAGTAACGTAAACATAAGTAAAAATAATCATTTATAATATTATATTTTATCGAAATTTGTCCAATTGTTCTTTTTAATTATATAAAACAATCGATCTTAATCCAAATAGTTGTTTGTGTAACAAATAATTCTTTAGAGGCAGTATAATGAAGAATTTCTCTTTATTAGTTGTAATAGAATATTGTTATTTTTAATTTTTAAAAGCTTCACTGAAATTCCGTAGCTTTTGTATAACTTTCTAACGAGGTAAACACATTATAAAGTAAAACGTAGTACTTACGTAAAGTAACGTTTACGTAAGTAAAGTAACGTAAGCGTAACGTGAACATAAATATATGAGTAACGTAAACATTAGTAATAATAATTATCCTTAATATTATATTTCATCGGAATTTCTCCAATTTTTACTTTGAATTATATAAAAGAATCGATCTTAAGTCCAAATAGCAGTAGGTGTTGTTTGTATTACAAATAATTCTTGGCAGTATAATGAAGAATTAATTAATTGTTTTAAAAACTTCACTGAAATTCAGTAGCTTTTATATATCTTTCTAACGAGGTAAACATAAAGTAAAACGCAGTACTTACGTAAAGTAACGTTTACGTAAGTAAAGGAACGTAAGCGTAACGTGAACATAAATATATGAGTAACGTAAACATTAGTAATAATAATTATCCTTAATATTATATTTCATCGGAATTTCTCCAATTTTTACTTTGAATTATATAAAAGAATCGATCTTAAGTCCAAATAGCAGTAGGTGTTGTTTGTATTACAAATAATTCTTGGCAGTATAATGAAGAATTAATTAATTGTTTTAAAAACTTCACTGAAATTCAGTAGCTTTTATATATCTTTCTAACGAGGTAAACATAAAGTAAAACGCAGTACTTACGTAAAGTAACGTTTACGTAAGTAAAGGAACGTAAGCGTAACGTGAACATAAATATATGAGTAACGTAAACATTAGTAATAATAATTATTCTTAATATTATATTTCATCGGAATTTGTCCAATTTTTACTTTGAATTATATAAAAGAATCGATCTTAAGTCCAAATAGCAGTAGGTGTTGTTTGTATTACAAATAATTCTTGGCAGTATAATGAAGAATTAATTAATTGTAATAGAATAATTTTATTTTTAACTTTTAAAGCTTCACTGAAATTCAGTAGCTTTTGTATAACTTTCTAACGAGGTAAAAACGTAATAAAGTAAAGTAACGTAAACGTAGATAAAGTAACCGAACATAAATATATGAGTAACGTAAACTTAAGTCAAAATAATTATTCATAATATTATATTTTATCGAAATTTGTCCAATTGTTCTTTTGAATTATATAAAACAATCGATTTTAATCCAAATAGTTGTTTGTGTCACAAATAATTCTTGGCAGTATAATGAAGAATTTTTCTTAATTAGTTGTAATAGAATATTGTTATTTTTAATTTTTAAAAGCTTCACTGAAATTCAGTAGCTTTTGTATAACTTTCTAACGAGGTAGAAACGTAATAAAGTAAAGTAACGTAAACATAACCTGAACATAATAAATACATGAGTAACGTAAACATAAGTAATAATAATAATCCGTAATATTATATTTTATCGGAATTTGTCCAATTTATTTAGTTGTAATAGAATAATGTTATTTTTAAATGCTTCACGGAAATTCAGATGCTTTTGTATAACTTTCTAACGAGGTAAAAACGTAATTAAAGTAACGTAACCTGAACATAAATATATGAATAACTTAGACATAAGTAATAATAATTATTCATAACATTATATTTTATCGGAGTTTGTCCAATTTTTCTTTTAAATTATACAAAACAATCAATCTTATATCCAAATAGCAGTCGGTGTTGTTTGTGTTACAAATAAATTTTGGCAGTTTATAGAAGAATTGTAATAGAATAATGTGATTGTAATTTTTAATTTTTAAAAGCTTCACTATAATTAGGTAGCATTGTTAACTTTATTGATAACTTCCTAACGAGGTAAAAACGTAGTAAAGTAAAGTAACGTAAACGTAAGTAAAGTAACGTAAACGTAACGTGAATATAAATATATGAGTAACGTAAATCTAACTAATGAAACGTAACGTAAATTTTAGTAAATATATATGTAATTATTTTATTAAACCGTTAAAATATATAAGTTTATCTATTTTCCAGAATGGTGACCTCTGCATTTCAATTCTGCATCCCCCAGTTGACGATCCCCAAAGTGGCGAGTTGCCCTGCGAACGCTGGAACCCAACGCAGAATGTGCGTACAATTCTGCTTAGTGTCATCTCACTACTGAACGAGCCCAATACCTTCAGTCCAGCAAATGTAGATGCTAGCGTTATGTATAGACGTTGGCGTGATTCCAAAGGGAAAGACAAGGAATATGAAAATATAATCAGGTAAATATACTCTCAATCAATTTATGTTGCATAACAGACGATTTATTTGCAACGCTTCACTTTCTATATGAATTGGTATACTGTGTGCACATCCAATAAAATTGATTTATGATACCTTTCAGTACTGACGGTAATTAATTTACGGATATGCTATCCTGATACCAGTATATATCAGAAAATATGATCTTTGAGAATATGAAGACACATTTTCTTTTATTATCACATTACACTACACTATTTTATTGAATGATTGTAAGGATACAAACGATTTGAGACTAAATATAAATATAAAATGAGATCTGAATATGAAATCGTCAAACATAATATTACCATCAAATGGAAGGACTAAACTGCATGAGATATTGTTTAAAGATTTATTGACCATATTAAATTAAACTTATTCATTTAGAATGATGAGACCTACATATTCTCAATACGTTTGTACCTACTTTAACAACATAATTAATTTACATATATTAACACAGGGGTTATGCTAAATGCATAAACATCGTTGTAATTTAATATTCTCAAATTTCGTATAGATAGTTAAAAATATTATTGTTTTTAGTTCAAGTATTCAGTATTTGTAATTTTTGTTTTAAGGGGGTCTTCCTATATGACGGCCTGTTTTTTAGGGATATTTTAGGATTTTTTTTTCTACGACCAGTAAATATTTAGAGCTTCAAGTTTTTTATCATTTATTAACACATATTTGGACAGTATAAATATAAAATTTCAGCTAAAAATATTCAGTCAAACTAGAGTTACAGCGCTCTGAACACCCCCGCCTCGAAAAAAAGAGCTCCCACTTCCTCCACTATTCCGGCTGATCGGCTTATCTGAAAAAAAAAAATAAACGGCGTTTTAATTTGTAGGCTTAAAAGCACGGGATGACCTATAATCAAATGAATATAAAAAAAAGGATTTTTGATAGACATTTGAAATAAAAGTTGCAAATGAGGCGTTTTTTTTTTGTTTTTTGCTATAAAAAAATCGAAGTTTTGAAAATTGATAATAGTTCATTCCATGCGATTGATTGATAATAGTTCATTCCATGCGTTTAAATATATTGAGTGTGCCCTGTAAATTTCAAGTAATTCGGTCCAGCCGTTTCTGAGATACAATGGAGGAAAGTTTGAAAAACACAGTTTTGAGAAACACGCGTTTAAAGTTTCTAACTGCCAACTCAGCGCTCCGAACCGCTCTTTCTTTTACAGCTGTATCTTTAAAACGACTTCGAATTTTCTAAAATCGCTTTACTACCGTATTCCAGACATGTTAAGGGAGCAATTTATGAAAAAAAAATAGATTTTTTCAACCCATCACATAGGAAGACCCCCTTAAAAGAATTAGATCCAGCTTCTGACTAGTAATATTCAGTATTCTTCTTAGGAACCTCAAGTTGAATTAAGTTCTGATAGGTATTATAGTTAGCTTATTGATACTAAGTAGTTAGTAATTTAAAAATACTACCATTTTTATTATAACTATATAAAATATACATATTCATTTAGGAAACAAGCACAAGCTGCAAAAGTTGAAGCGGAAAAAGAAGGCATTGTAGTTCCTCTAACAAGGGAAGACTATTGTATTAAAACAAAAGTTAAACCACCTCCACAAGAACCACAGGTACCATATCACTTTACTTTCATATAAATATTAAATTTATCCATAATCTTTTATTATTGTGCTTTCCAGTTGGATATGACAGACTTTTATGATGATGATTATGATCTGGATACAGAAGATGACCAGCTCTCTGATGAAAGTGATTATGCAGATGGTGATGATAGTGGAAATGGTGAATCGTGAATAAGTGTATTTAAATACAATTATTTTTTCATGAACATAATCAACAAACAAACTGTTCAGTTGTCATGAAACATTTCACTAAAGCTCAGAATGCGAAATGAGTAGAATATTTTACGATGTACATAGTGATAGAATTGAGTAAGAAACAAAGTATATAAAAAGTATTTGTTCTGCGTTCATATTAAGCACAAAATTTCCGAAGTTTCCGAATTTTGAACATTTAATCTTAATGTGATTTTTGGCAGCTTAGATCAGGATTACTCGATGAATTTTATTTATAGTTGTTTTTTTATAAATATTAAGAATATTATATATATATATTTTAAATAAACATTTTATTTATGTGGTTGAATTTTTTATTTGTGATTTTCTAAACAATTTGTAATAATCTAAATGCTATGACTAGATTTATGATTAAAACATTCACAAAATTAAAACGTCATGAATGAGCATTGCAAAGTAATTTGTTACTTTGAAAACTTTACTTCCATTTGTTGTTATGTGCATATAAATATAATAATTCTACGCGCACTAAGTAAAGCGTTTCTAATTCAATCTTGTAAAAGATGATATGTTTCTGCTGAGCAAAACCTAAGTAGATCAACAATAATTTATCTAATTGTATGTTGAATATCCAGAAATTATAATTTCATATTTATTTCTGAACTATTGGTATTGTGATAAATTAATTCTAATTTAGTTAATTAACTTGCTTTGTAAATGACTCAAAGTGTTACCATATATTAATTGCTTTTATTGTTGCAAATCCATATAAATTTTTACTCGAATTGCATTATTGAATAATTGAAGTTATTGAGAGTATGTATACAATAATAATCGCTAATCAATTAAATATTTGTACATCTTTTTCTAATAAAAATCAAGAATAATCTAAGATCATTGATAAAGTGTTTTATTTTCAAGGTTCATTAGTTGCTTGTAAACCATAATGTTGAGTCTTACCATACTTATGATGGTCTTGTATAAAATTTAAGATTTTCTCAATGCAAAGGGGTAAGAATTAAATTGTATATATTATGAATATTGTACGTAATATGCATTATTGCCTAATTTAAATTATGATACAATTTTAAAGGTGTTTTGTCAACAGAATAACTTTTTTTAGTGTGCTTAATTAAACCCAGAACACCTATTATCAAATGTATAGTTAATTATAATATAAATTAATTTATCTTACTTAATCATAAATGATTCTAGATTTATTTTAAAAATATTAGGTTGCATTAGACACAATATGATTAGTATATTGTGTCTATGAATGGATTTTAACCTTTTTTTATTGTATCTCAAATTTATAATTGTCACCTATCATGGATAAAAATATCATGGAATATAATAATTTTGTAATTTCTTGTATATGCCATTTATTGATTCTATTATGTTTTATATGCAGATGTTTTATCAATTGCTATGACATACACATCAAAAGTATCTCGTAGAATATCTAGACTTAAATTAATTTAATGCTTAGTTAATTTTTCTATGAACATCGATCAATGATTATATAATACAATTATTAATGTAATGGGTTGTAGTTATGATATATCTTTTAAACTATTTAATGACATTATTTACTATATAATCTAGATGTAAAATTAAATAAATTATGCATAATTATTAGATATTGTAAATATTCACATAATACTATGTATTATTTTTTGTGGTATATTGTAGTACTCCAAATTTATATTTTCACATATTATTTAGTACATGTAATAAAATATAATTATATGAATTGATTTTTATTTATTTGAGTAACAAATAACCAGATCTAATAAGCACATTATTCTTTTGCCTTTAGATAATAAATTTGGTACAACTAGAAAATGACATTTACTACTGATATGTAATTTATCTATAAAGTACCAATTATCATTTATAGAAGTTGAAATATAATTTAATAATCCATTTATTATATTTGAATAACCTACTATAAATCTGATAAATTTGTATATAAATGGGAAGAACTTGTGAAAAATGTTCACACCTTTTTAGATTTTTTGAATAAGATGAAAGGTTTGAAAAACTCATAAACTCGTAAAAAAAATATTTATTTTTCAGTGGTTTTGACATGATCAAAATGTAATTTTATTCAAACTTTATACAGTAGTAATAGACGAAATAATAAAACGATTTTAGATACAAATAGGATTATTGGTGATTAAAATTGTTTTTATAAGACATGGAGAATGTAATTATTTCCAATTATTTGAATAATAAGAGGAAGCCTAAATGATTTTTTTAGTTTCATCGATTGATTAATATACATAATATATCCTATTTTATATGTGCCTACAGGCAATAAATTAGATTTATTGTGGATTGCTATTATATTAATGTTATAATTTTATTTACATTATTTAATTATCTAACAGCAAACATGAAACGGTTTTTATGTAAAGTAAATTTATATAATGTAATAATTAGCATATTGAATCCTACAAATTACTTAATTAAGTTTTTTATTATTTAAAAAAGAACGGTTGCACAATACGCATTTCCAAAAATTGGTTATATATAATTATATATATATATAATTATATATAACCAATTTTTGGAAATGCATATCGTGTATATATATATATATATATATATATATATATATATATATATATTGAGAATTTTGTGATATGAGTTGAACGAATCCTTGTCCCTTCATCTTCAACACTTAAAATCAAATTCAAATGTTTCTGTATATATTCACATGTTTAGTACTGTGTCCAGCATTGTAAGAGATAGTTGGTATTTTTTATTTTTCAAAAATTAAATATAATTTAAATAAAATATTAGCATATAATTTTTACTGTTTTGAAATTATACAGAAGATGAGGCATACCATGGTCTCGAAACGTCTGTAATTATTAAACAAAGTGTGTGTTAAAAGTCTGAGTGTTGTATTGTTCATATTTAACATTTATAATATATATATATATATATATATATATATATATATATATATATAATTATATTATTATTATTATTATTATTAAAATATTATAATAAGTTAACGCGCAGTATTTCAAATTTGAATGAAGCAGATTTTAACCGCCAACCATAAGAATGTAAACAAGAAACAGTCACCTTTTGACCCTTCCATTATTTATCACCTTATGGTTGCAATAATTGCAGATATCGATAATTGTATATAAAAATAAATTGCATTTTAATAAAGTATTCATGGAGATAGGGCATCGTACAATTTCATGATCGCGATCAAATGAAAATTAAAAAAAATATTTTGATTTGACGTTTGCGTAACCTAACATTCCAATATGCCTTACGAATACTACAGGAGTGAAATATCTCATTCACAAGAATATTTGAGTTTTAGGAGTAGTATTCCTTTGAGGAAGATTGTTGTCGACCCAGAAGGGAAAAAGGTAAGACTTAATTTCTTAGTGGGCTTTTTATACTTATTAACAAGAGGTTTTTGTTCAACCTGTAAAAAGTACATATTTACATATTATAAAATATGTTTTGACCAGTGAAAATATCTAATTTACTTCGGCTTACATTTGTTAATGTTAAATGCTTAATCTTTTAATTTTGTTCACATTGTTGGTTTCTACTTTTGACAGTTTTCATGTTGCTTCTGGGTGCTCTTTTAGATTTTTATTTAATTCTCAAGAGTTTGCTCACTGCCTTTTGTATTCTTCTATCAAGAGCTTTAAAAAATACTATTATTATTGATTATGGCTTGCTTAGAATAAATAAATAAATAATTTCGTTTCAAATGCTGTGCTGTGTAAGTATTTATTGGTTTAATGTGAATAATGTGTTACCAAAACATTTTATGAATTATATTATTATTGCATTTAGGTTATTCAAATTGAGATCCTAAATTTCGAATTCATCGAAGGGGACACCATAGACATTTTTGTCTAATCACTTATTGCAAGTTATAATAGACAGCGATATGAATGAGAAAATTGGATTATAACACAGATAGTAATTTGGGAAATCATATTTATAAAAATTCTTATTGGAATTTTTCATATTTGAATTCTGTGCAATTTGTAAAGAATACATATTAGAAAATATGTATTGGTCAATTAAAGAAACAAATATTTAATTTAATTCGGTTTACGTTTGTTAATGTTAAGTGCTTGATTGTTAATTTTGATCATATTGTTGTTTTATCCTGTGGACAAATTGTCAAGTTGCCTTCTAGGTGTTCTAGATTTTTATTGGAATCTTTCTTATTTCTAATTAAACATATGTATACAGTAAAACCCTCTTAAGACAATTTTACAAGGCCTTAAACTTTAGACAAATAGTCATGTTGCCTTCTAGGTGTTCTAGATTCTTATTGAAATCTTTCTTATTTCTAATTAAACATATGTATACAGTAAAACCCTCTTAAGACGATTTGACAGAGACTTACACCTTGGACAAATTTTCATGTTGTTTTCTAGGTTTTCTAGATTCTTATTGGAATCTTTCTTATTTCTAATTAAACATATGTATACAGTAAAACCCTCTTAAGACGATTTTACTGGAACTTCTACTTAGGACAAATTGTCATGTTGCTTTCTAGGTATTCTAGATTCTTATTGGAATCTTTCTTATTTCTAATTAAACACATGTATACAGTAAAACCCTCTTAAGACGATTTTACAAAGACTTACACTTAGGGCAAATTGTCATGTTGCCTTCTAGGTATTCTTGATTCTTATTGGAATCTTTCTTATTTCTAATTAAACACATGTATACAGTAAAACCCTCTTAAGACGATTTTACAGAGACTTACACTTTGGACAAATTGTCATGTTGTTTTCTAGGTTTTCTAGATTCTTATTAAAATCTTTCTTATTTCTAATTAAACATATGTATACAGTAAAACCCTCTTAAGACGATTTTACAGGGACTTATTCTTTGGACAAATCTTTATGTTGCTTTCTAGGTGTTCTAGATTCTTATTGGAATCTTTCTTATTTCTAATTAAACATATGTATACAGTAAAACCCTCTTAAGACGATTTTACTGGAACTTATACTTAGGACAAATTGTCGTGTTGCCTTCTAGGTATTCTTGATTCTTATTGGAATCTTTCTTATTTCTAATTAAACATATGTATACAGTAAAACCCTCTTAAGACGATTTTACAGGGACCTGACCAAAATTCTATATGTATAATTTGTTGTTGGTTAACATATTTTTTTATTATTTTATGTTTATGTATTAATTGTATGGCTATTACCGTCTTTAAAGTATTTATTATATTTATAATACTAAGTAACTGATGATAAATTATACACATAGCAGAATATATCTAATTGTAGTTTATTTCCTTTACCCCAGGCTTGGAAAATATATGATTCGGGACCAAAAAGTGTTCAAACACCTCTAATATGTCTGCCACCAGTATCGGGTACAGCTGACATCTTTTTTAAACAAATTATGGCTATGCAAGCTAGAAGTGTCCGAGTAATATCTGCTGAAGCACCACCGTACTGGACTGTTAGAGATTGGTGTGATGGATTCAAACGTCTTCTTGATCACTTGAATATTCAGAAAGCCCACTTATTTGGAGCTTCTTTAGGTTATTTATTAATTTCACAACTTATGGTATAGAAATAGTTAAATTGTTACTAATTGCACAACATAATTTCTATCTTTAGGAGGATTTTTGGCACAAAAATTTACAGAACAAACTTTAAACTGCCCGCGTGTAGCATCATTAATTTTATGTAATACATTTACTGATACAACAGTATTTAATTACACTGATACTGCAGCACTATTTTGGTTATTGCCATCTATGGTGCTTAAAAAAATGGTGATCGGAAATTTTTCTACTAGCACTTCAGATCCATTAATAGTCAATGCGATAGATTTTATGGTAGAAAGGGTGAATATTTTTAAATTAATCTTTATTATTTCTTACAAATGTTTGAGAAAATGAATTCTATAACATTTGTGGAATTTTTTCATGAATTGATTCAATATTTATTAAAATATAATAAATAATTTTATGATTTATATACTATTTACAGCTGGAGTCCCTTACACAAAGTGACTTAGCATCTAGATTGACTTTAAATTGTGTTCCATGCTGTGTGAATGCTTATAAATTATCTGTGATACCTGTTACAATTATTGATGTTTTTGATGGATATGCTCTTAGCAATCCAGTTCGAGAAGAGCTGTACAAATGCTATCCTGAAGCTAAATTAGCTCATTTGAAAAATGGGGGCAACTTTCCATATCTTAGCAGATGCAATGAAGTCAACTTACACCTTCAGGTAAGATTAGTACAGTAATTTTTTGCTTTTTATAATTTATTATCTACATAATATAGAGTGCATGTAAATATAAGTAATATTTTCAGATACACTTACGACAATTTGAAAACACCTATTTGTCAGCATCTGAAAAGAATCTTATTAACCCGCAACACAATAAATCAGTTGAATATTGAAGTAACTGACAATAAAGTAAGTAAGATTTGATAAATTGTTACTTTCATGTGATTATATTATTGTTATTTATAAATGTTTTATTGTAAATTATTTTATTGGGCATTTTTGTATATATATATAAATGATGTATTAAGCAAACTGTTAATAATCAATCATATTTTATCAAAACAGTTATATTTTTGAATATATTTTTATCAATCGACTAAAAGGTTATTATTTATGAAGATAAATACATTCATCAAATTTTTTACTTTATTTACATTTTTTAAAAAATTATAACAGTAATTACAGTTTTAAGAATATTTTTTTCACAATTTTTTATTTTCTGTACTTGTGTTTGTTGTTTTGGGTACTATGCTTTCATCATCACTATAATATTCTGGATCCTTTGCAACTGATACAGACGGAATTGTTTTATTTACATCTGTTGTACTTTTTGTAACAGATGTTGTAGGTAATATTGAACGAGGATTAGGAATTGATGTTGGCATTATCGGCTCTTGTTTTGGTCTCGTCACTTGTCCATATATTGATAAAGCCTATGTAAAATTTGTTTATTATATGTACATGTTTATGCTTTTATATACAAAATATTTTACCTGTGCCACCATAGATGACACGTCACCAGCATCTGATGGCAGTATTAACGTATTGTTGGTTTTGGCCAATTTGTTAAAAGCTTGCACATATTGTTCTGCAACACTCAAACTTGCTGCATTTTGTCCATCCTAACGAAACACATTGCAAATCACCAATTCATTCAACTTAAACATTCAAATATTATTTAATATAAAATATTACCGCATTCTTTAAAGATTCTGCCACTAATAATAAACCTTTTGCTCTTGCTTCAGCTACAGAAACTAATGCACATGCTTCACCAGAAGCTTTATTAATTTGTTCTTGTTTCTCAGCCTCTGTTGAATTTTATTTATTTTTTTTTTATTAATGTCCATACTTTTTTTTGAATGTATGTAAAGTTACCTGAAGCAAGAATTCTTGATTTACGTTTTCCTTCAGCAACATTGATCTCCGCTTCCCGTGTTCCTTCTGACTCTAAAATTGCTGCACGTTTTTTTCTTTCAGCTTCAACCTGCATTTGCATAGCCTCTTGAACTCGTGCAGGCAATTTTATGTCCCCTAAAAATTGAATATTGATAAACAATTATATTGCTTAGTTATGAATAATTACATATATAATAACATAAATAATTGATTAGTTGCCTTAAACTTACTTATTTCATATCTGAGGCATGTGATACCCCAAGCTTCACTTGCTTTGTTTATTGATTCTACAATGTTAACATTTAAAGATTCACGTTCTCTGAAAACTTTATCTAGTGATATTTTTCCCAATTCACTTCTCATCGTTGTTTGAGCTAATTGGGTGATTGCAAATTCAGGATCTTCAACACCATATGAAGCTAGAAGAAAAATAATGACAATGATCTTTCATGTATGTTAAGTATTGATTGACTGATTTAGAGAAGTTGAATATTAGAGTAGTTGATGAATGCTTTAATATAACATTTTACCAAGATATGCATCATTTATCCTAAGAAACAGCACTCCATCAATATTTAGATTTACATTATCTGAAGTAATTGCACTTTGTTTAGGAACATCGATAGCTATTTCCTTCAAACTTTGTACATATTTAACTCTATCTACAATAGGTATTAATATGTTTAATCCAGGATCTAATATTCTATGAAACTTTCCCATTCTTTCAACTATCCATGCCTTAAATAAACAGAAATCAATTGTAATGAACATTATATGTACTTTATCAATTGCTGTGGTAATTGCTCTTTTACCTCCTGTTGTGGAACAAACATAATTATGGTATTAATAGGAGTAGAGGATTTATATCGTATATTAAATAACTGAATAGAAGGCAGTTCAGGTCGGCGCGCTTGTATTCCATTCTGAAAATATATGGTGATCACAGTATTTACAAAACAAACATCATATTTTTAAAATAAAAATGACACCTTTGTGAATGTTGAATATAGACTACGAATCGAAGAAGGACGAAACATTTTACAACAATATATACACAAATGCACAAATTTTCGTGATTTGAATTATGTGGCCATAACCTCTACTTTGACATTTCGTTTCGTAAAATTTTAGTCCTTTAATGTTGGCATTTCTGTATTGTTTGTTACCGAACAACTTCATTGATAAGCATAACCTCACTTTAGGTTATACACAAACCGAAACAATATATTTGTGCATTGAAAAAACTACTATAAAATTTTGTGCAATAAAACATAATTTGTGACACTAGCGTATTTGTGTTTGCCAATTTACTAGCATTGAATTTGATAGGTATGTTATAATATTTCTTATAATAAGGAATATTGTATATAGTAAAAACACAGCAAAAGCTATTATACTGACATATAGCAAATACATAATCATGATTAGTATTTGATGTTTCTTGGTCATTTAATACTATTTAAATATTCACAAGACAAACTAGTCGAATTAGTCATATTTATCAAGACAAGGCTGCCTTATATGTTGCTTTGTATTTTAGTCATTTATATTGTTTTAAATTGTAGACGAGAGTAACTTATTAACTATTTGAATTTTTTTCCTTCATTCTCTATTTTATTTACATAAGGGCATTTAATAAATTTGTGGAATTTACAGTTGTCAACCGTAAAGGGACATTGTGTACTAAATGGGCATGTTAGAAAAACAACTCAACAGCTGTTTTCCCATTCGTTATAAAATTAACAATATTTTATTGATAATGATATAAATTTAACTATTTACTTATAAATAATGACTAAGTAATTTTAATCTTTATCAGGAAAATTGATGATATAAATTCAGTGGCGCTTTTCTTTTCAACATTTGTCGATAGTTCTGTTATTAAGGAGTTCGCTAGCGAATTTGAGTGACTGATGACCTTGTTCCTATATTTATGTGCTATTTTTGTTATTACATCTTTTATGGTTGGTGTGTTCCTGTCGAGATGACTTATCCAGTTCGGGATATATTTTGGTGCTCCTAAGGCAATTTTCAAAAATTTGTTCCGAAATTTCTGTATTATTTCTATATTGCAATTGTATTCCATTGCACCAAATTGGTTCGAATAAAGTTTTATATAAAAGTAGCTTATTGTATGAGCTTAGTTTATATTTAGTCCCTAATAATCAGTAAAGCTTTTTGGTTTTTATCTCAAGCTGTTGCCTCTTTTTTTATATGAGTTTGCCAATTAAGTTTTCTATCGAGATATATGCTGAGATATTTCACATGGTCTTCTTGAGGTACTTGAACGTTTCCTATTCTCACTGGTGGGCAGGTCTCTCTTCTAAGAGTAAATGTCACGTGTACTGACTTTAAACCATTCATTGACTATTTGATTTCTTATGTAATAACATAAATTTATTTTCATTATAATAGTTCTCACTGATTTTAACAGAGAAGACCTGTACTCTACTTCACTTATTAAAGAATTGCAATAAATAATATCGTAATGTGAACTTCACTGACTAAAAATCCAGTAAGCAATTTTTTCATGCACAACCATAATGTAAAAACTTGTGTTTCCTTGGCCTGATTATCTCAATGTTTTTGTAAATGAGCTGGTTATTAGTTGGTCTTAATCAGTTATTAGTTTGATTCATTTTATCAAGGAATAATTTCATTATATGTGAATTATTGTTTCATATTTTCATTTTAAGACTTTTCACTGATTTTAACAGAGAAGAACTATACTGTACATTAGTTAATTGCTTTTATTATTAAAGAATGGCCATAAAAATATTGTATTGTAATAATTTTACTACAATGATAATGTAAAAACTTGGGTTTCCTTAGTCTGAAGATAATCTGGATGCATTTACCTCAATGTATTTTGTAAATGAGTCGGTTATTAGTTGGCCTTAATCATTTCTTAGTTTGATTCAAATTTATCAAGGCATGAATGTCTTATATGTGATATATTGTTTCATGTGTTATATAAAAAATTATATCTTAATTTATATACAACTCAATTTATATCTTAATTTATATACAACTCGATTTATATCTTAATTTATATACAACTCAATTAAGCCTATTCAGTTTAATAGTTTAATAATATAAATCGAATCGTTTCTCAAATTATGTATTCATTTACTTACTCTGTAATTCTGTGTTTATTTACTGAATATTTGAATTTTCTTGATAAGAGATGTTTTGTGTTCAATTTCCAAACTAAATCATGTTACCTTTCTACTAACTCTAAATTTTTGATTAATTACTTCATTTTAGATTTGAAATTCAAGAGATCTCAAAATGAATCGTAAAGAGGCATTGTCTACATTTATCCAACAGATTCATGGCCGACCTGTTGTTGTGAAATTAAATAGCGGTGTGGATTATAGAGGTAATTGTTGTGGAATTATTATATGGATAAATATTTATAATAATAACAAATATTCATATATCCAAAATTTTAATAACAGGTGTTCTAGCATGTTTGGATGGATATATGAATATTGCATTAGAACAGACTGAGGAGTATGTGAATGGCCAATTAAAAAATAAATATGGGGATGCGTTCATAAGAGGAAATAATGTACTTTATATAAGTACACAAAAACGTAGAATATAGATATTTTAATGTATATTTATGTAAACAAATCAAGGAATTATTTTTTATTTTAAATAATTTATTTTGTGTTTTAAACTATTTTTAATATTGAGTTCATTTCACACTTAACATTTATTTTCTTAAATCTGCATTCACTTAAATTTTACATCATTTCCTCATAGCCTTGCATGTTATTAGTAAAATTTACCCAGTGATACAAATCAGAGTTAAATAAAAAATAAAAATTCTTTATAATAATAAATAACGTTCTTCAATGAATTCCTTCTAATGGTGAATATGATTTATATTGATACAAATCTGGACCTCCATATCCATACAATAGTTTTCCTCTGCCGTTATCATCATAATATGGATACCTATATTTAGGCCTGTAAAAGACGATAAAATATAAATATATTTTTATCATGTACTATAAAAAATAAATCAAGAATATTTATATATTATTTGTACTTTATTTTGGCATTAAAACATTATTTAAATATTTTTATGCAAATGCATATACCAAAATAATTGTAATTTTAAACATTAGATTAAAATGAAAATGTGTCAAGTGTTGTGTAAGGAAATAGATATGGTTTTTAATACACCTAACATATTTATAACTGTTAAACAGCATGCATTTTAACTTTCTTGATAGTGTTGGATATGCAAATAGAGAATATTAACATCACACTTTGCATACATGCTTTCTAAATTTCTTTTAAACAATCTTAATGTTTCACAAATGATATTTGAAATATATGAGCAATAGGAATTTTAAAAAATATACATGATTCAAAATTAAAGTAGTTAAATATATTAGCAGCACTTTACCTTTCAAAATATTGGAAATTTGGTGCTCTTGCACTAATTGTGCCTTCAGCTACAGCTCCCATTACAGTAAGCACAACGCTAAATAGTTGCAGTAACTACATGATAAATACACAAATTAATTAGAATTATTTAAATTAACATATATAAAAAAGCATAATTTACTAAACAAAATGAGTTTAAAATAAGTATACAGTATGAAAAAAACATTTTTTGTTTATTTTTCTAATTCCGCACTAATGAAATTCTAAACATAAGATGTTGGGTGAGTGTATAACTGTAAATTGTTGAAACGGATTGGTACAGAATATTGAGGATATCCGTAATTGAATGTGAGATTTGAGTAAATTTTAAAGTTTTTAAAGTATTCATAAATAAATTTTAATATTATTTGACGTCATTTTTTTAATTGTAATATATTTTAAGACCATTGTTGCAATAATTATTTCAATAGGTATCTTATCTTTTAGTGAAAAATAAAGTATAACTGTAAAATGTTGAAACGGATTGGTACAGAATATTGAGGATATCCGTAATTGAATGTGAGATTTTAGTAAATTTTAAAGTTTTTAAAGTATTCATAAATAAATTTTAATATTATTTGACGTCATTTTTTTAATTGTAATATATTTTAAGACTATTGTTTCAATAATTATTTCAAAAAGTATGTTATCTTTTAGTGAAAAAACAATGGAACACTGGTCTTGTTAAAAAAAATATGCGTCGGAATAAAAAATTATAATTATATTTAAGAGTAAAATTTCACAATATTTTTATTATAAATTTGGTTAAAAATCTTATAAATTAAAATTATTTTTGGGTAATTTTAGTAGCATAACTTATAGTTATGAAATCACAAACTTTTTATAAAGCCCACTTATTAAAACTTGCACAATTATTGACGTTTTTTTACATAACACTTGGAATTAAATATTCTCTTATATTATTTTTTATACACTTTTTTATTTGGGTCACACAAAGAACTAGTATTTGGATGCCAGTCCGGAAAAACTAACCAATAATAGGAAACTTGTCCTGGCCATGGTGCTCCGTGTATCGCTTCTTCGATGTTGTCACGGTTCTGTACGGATGTTTGTTTCCTATCGTTCCACACGGACAATTCTTACGGCGAAAGTGAAAGTTCTTGTAAACGACCGTCATTCAGACCCACACATATGCATTTTCTTATTTGATTTTAGTTGGTATTACGTGTCATGGAAACTTGTAACATATCTTTCCATTGGCGTACTAAATTGAAGTTACGAATGCCCCCGTTTCGATAGAAAATATATTTGATATGCAACAATCTTTGCCGTATGCGATGCAAGAGCTTTAGGACGTTGGATATATTAATTTTACAATTATTTACTGGTTTACTCACGATTAGTTTCATGGAATCTAAAATACTGAAGATTTAATTAAGGGTTTCAGAAAGATACAACAAATCACTGATGTACAGCGCTTTTGTCATGTTCTATGATAAATATTGAATATTTTCTAACAACATATTGGCTTACTTTGGCTTAAACTTTCCGGTGAAGAGAGAAGTTTAGTTAACTAAATAGAAGTTCCGAATGCCCCTATTTCGAAAGAAAATATATTTTATGCAACAATCTTTGCTGTGTGCGATGCAAGAGCTTTAGGACGTTGGATATATTAATTTTACAAATATTTACTGGTTTATTTATGATGAGTCCTTGGAATACAAAATACTGAGGATTTGATTAAGGGTTTCAGAAAGGTAAAACAAATCACTGAAGGACAGCTCTTATATCATATATTGTATGATATTATTGACATTTTCTAACATAATATCTTGGCTTACTTTTGTCATATTTAACTTCCCGGAGGAGAGAGAAATTTATGTTTTTTTTTTTATTATTATTTATTTACATCTTTATTTAATGTCAATCGGCTATATTCGAGTTTTCGGGAAAAATTCCAATTCGCTAATCTTATGTTTTCTTGACGTACCAGTCATTCTGAATCGAATGAGACCAAATTAAGGACCGTACGCTTGATATGAACGTTTCGAGCACAGATAAACAAGTATAAATGGTTTCGAGTTTCGGAGGTAGCTACTGATTACCGATGATGTTTACACTTAAATAAAATACATTTTTAGAACATGAAATAGATGAAATGAAATGTGTTAAATAATTTAATTTTATACAATTACATATATTATAAGTTTGTTTCAAAGACATCATTTGGACGCATTTATTAATTTTAGTGAAAGCTAAATTTTATTTTCCACATAAATAGCTGATCAATTTAACTAAATAGTTGAATCTCAATTCTTATTGACTAAGTTCATTATTTATACATATCAGAAAATTTATGCAACTTGCCTTAAGGCTACTTGCAACTAGATTCTCGAAAGTTCTAAATATTTATTATTGAGAAACCATTAACATTTATATTTGAATAGAGTTAATTTTGAAGTGACAATATAATAAGCTTTTTGACCAGCTGTGTTTTATCTTAGCTTTCATTTAATTTCATAGGTTTTATTATTCAGAAACGTGATCAGCATCACGAACTCATTTTTCATTCCCAATTTCACAAATTTTTGATCCAAGAGCTTTAGATTTAATAATTAATTCATCGTTTTTCTTTCACAAATATCTGTTACTCGCAATTAGTTTACTCCTGATCCGTAGAACCCTAAAAGTTGAGGATTTTATAGTTAGAGGTTTCAGGAAGTTAAAATAAATCATTCAAAGACAGTTATTTTTTATCGTATTCTATTTGAATATGGTACGAAAACTATTGAGATTTTCTGTCTTATTTATATGTTATGAAATCAATTTTTTATAATTATTATGTAATAACATAATATAATTTTCATAAATTTTATTACATAATTTTTATAATTATTTTAAATGTTTTTGAAAATCCAATTCTGATTTAATTTAATTTTTTTTTGTTTATTTTTGCTTTAAATTTTTATGAAATATCGTTTTCTTAATAATCTTAATAATTGTTTTATTTATAATTAAAAACCCAATAATATTTATATTTAAATAAAATTAATTTTGAAGTGATAATAAGCTCTCAGTAACAATATTGTATTTTATTCATGTAACTTTCTTTTAATTTCATATGTTTTATTATTCAGAAACGTGTTCAATATCACGTAATCATTTTTGATTCTCAATAATGTTAGTATGTCAAAAGTAGAGTCCAAACATGGAAGTAGACAATCATAGTGTAGAAATATAAAGCAAAATTTAAAAACTGTTTAATTTTTTTTTTAAATTTTATTTAAAAAAATACTATCTTAAATTAACATTTAGGCAAGAGTAACTATTAACTATTTGACTATTTGATTTCTTAACATAAATGTGTTTTCATTATAAGAGTTCACACTAAATTTAACAGAGAAGAACTACATTGTACAATAGTTAATTGTTTATATTAGTTGTGTTGCAATAAATAACATCGGAATATAAATTTTGCTGAAAAAACCCAGCAAGCAATTATGTCATGTACAACCATAATGTAAAAACTAGTTTTGCCTTGGTCTGGAAGATAATCTTGATGCATTTACCGCAATGTCTTTTGTAAATGAGTCGATTATTAGTTGGCCTTAATAGGTTATTGGTTAATTCAGAGTATTATTAGAATTGTTATTTCAACTAGTGTAATTTATAGTCATTGCTGTATCAAAATTTTAACTCGATATTCTGTTACTGATTGAATATTGGTGTACCATGGGTGTACCGGACCAATTAGAATTTTATATGTCTTATCACAAAATTTGTTAATGATTACACAATTAATTAGAATTTAGATGCAATATATATTTTTTGTCAAATAATTAATCCCGGTAATAATTAAGTCCTCCTAAATGACCTGCATCACGTGCCTGTTGATATGCAAGTCTTTCCTCTTCTTGTCCATCAATTCCTAAACCTAGCCTGGAGATAAAATTATCATCAGTTAGTTCTACTATTTTGTGAATTTAATTTTATATTAACTACTTTTAATTTACCTTTCAATGAGCTTGTCAGCTCTATATCCATGCAATTTATAGAACATATTTCGTCGTTTTTTCGATACTTCTGGATCAAACTTCCATTCAACTTGCTTGTGAATAATAGGATCTCCGGCCACATTTTGTTGAATTAGGTCACGTAGGAAATTTAAAGCTTGGCCTGAGGTTGATTTGAACAACGTTGCCCACACAAAAAGCACAACCGCTATCTAAGGAAAAAATAATTTGATATCTATAAAGAAAATTTAACAGAGAGAACAACTTTACTAATAACTATAAGCTATATGCATCCTCGTTCTGATAATAGATTTGATGAGCACAAGACTTAGTAAATAGGATTTGTTTAATAAATTAGTATTTAATAAACTAACCAGCGCACTGAATTTCATTTTTAAATATATATTCTTCTATATTTTTCAATCAATTGAAGCGTATAACATCTTCGTCAAAATACGACTGTTTGTATGCGATTCGTGAAAGTGTGATTATGCTGCAAAAGATCTCGTAATATTGATGAAGTGTGGTTTCATGAAAGAATTAGACGGGGAAAGAGTAACAAATTAATAGCTAAAATAGTAGCCATATGTTAATTATAAGATATATCTAATTTCTATATTTTGTTTATTTATACTTCCCGAAGCAGGAGTTGGTTTTCTGTTTCTTGGCGTTTTAAGTGATTCTCAATCGTTTGAAATCCAATTAGGAAAAAGTATGTGCTTGTATGTATGACTGTGTGTGAGCAGAACTTTTACCTTTCGTCGATGTTTTCTTAAATTTGGCTGGCTGAACAGATTTCAAAAAAATTAAAACCGTTCGATGTAATTCGATGAGATCGCTCGTTGATAAGTTTTCTTCAGCCATGTTTTAGCCAAAATTTCTGAATCGATTTTAAAATTTGGAACACTGTTTGTGATCGTGCTGAATAGTTTTTGAAGCAAAATTTATTTTGTTGTTATTAATTAGTCGTAGTGAATTCCTAAAATGAAAATACATATATAATATTAGTTCCAAAAGAGGCTAAACACCTCCCTCATCCCAAACACAATCATTATAAAGAAGTGTTGGTTTTTTAAAATAATTTGAATTTGTTTGAAATATTTAAAGTTGTTCAATATAGGACCCGGGCCTAGGGTGGCACAATTTGGGGGGCGGCAAATTTTTCCGATTTTTTTTTTGTCACGGCAATTTATTTTAAGGACTGATCTTGATCTAGATAATTCTCTATGAAATAGAATGTTATTCGTTTTCTAATCAAACTTATTCAAGGGCGCCTCATTAATATTTTTAGTGATGTATCATGTTTAAAATAAAATTTATTAAATTAATAAGCTTTTTTGTCAGAAATAAAATAAAATAAAACTAGTGGGGTGTATGGCATTGTGCCTTAAGGCAAATTGCTGGAAATAAATACTGTAACATTGTCTAATATTTATAAGAATTATATAAACTGAATTGCAAAGTTGAAACTATTTTATAAAATATATGAGTGAGCTTTAAAACTTCAGTCAGAATCAAAAATAAAATCTGAATTATTTTCGATATACAAAAAAAAAATTGTTTTGAAAAAAAAAATTGAAATAGTTTTTTTTTTCGAAAATCAATTATTTTGTTAAAACAAGCAGAAAGTTTTTTTGAATCATTTAAATCGGACGCTGGACGCAAAGGTAGGCCCAGCGGTTTCGGAGATACAGAGCCAAATGTTAAAAAATTGCAGTTTTTAAGAGCGTGCGATTTAAATGATTCAAAGAACTTTCTGCTTGTTTTAACAAAATAATTGATTTTGGAAAAAAAAATCTGTTTCAATTTTTTTTTCAAAACAATTTTTTTTTCATTGTTAACAATTCATTATCATTTACCTTTCAACAGCATTATAGTCAGTCGCACAAAATTCCAGAGAATTAATTACATCAATTACATCTTGATCATTCTCCATATTTAACAAATTTATTTAATTAAATCACAATTATTATTCAAAATAATATTTAACTGTTCGCAAATTATAGAATCCAAGTATATATTTTTTATTGCATTTTTACAAATTGGTTATTATTATAACTTACAGGATAATCGTACACGACTAAATAATATACTTTGTGAGAAATTGCTTTGCAGTATGTTTTAATCTCATATTGTTCACATTTGATAAGGATAATGGTAATATTTTATATCTTATCATATGATTGAAATGGATGTATTTACTATTTATATAAATCACCAGTCGATGTGCAAGGTCATTATCATTAGTGTGATTGGAAGTGCATAATTTTCTATCATATGGCAAAGTGCACTACGCCTGGTCCACAAACGTTTATAACTTTATAAATAATTTGGAATAATATACTTTTTCGCCATTTTACACAATCACTGATCAATGACTATTAATGATTATGACTAATAACAACAAAAATTTAATCGGCTATTTATCATATACACAAATTATAAAAAATACGACGGGTAGAACATGTTAAATATATATCAGGCAAATTAAAAAAAAACTGCATACACCTTCTCTGCTACTGTTCATTTTTGCAACCAGAACTAATAGTTCTGTGAACAATTATGCTGACAACTCCTTATGAATTAACTTGATCCAATAAATTGTGTCTAATAATAATTACCCACAGAGGGCAACTACTATCTATAATTTTATGTAAATAATGTATATCAAAAAAAAATTTTTGAATTTATTTATGTACTGATGATCATTAATGTAAAAGAAAAAAGTCCTCGTGAGACTGTATTCGTGGCTTAATGATTGCCCTTTCTACCTATGATTATTTTATATTATGGCAGCTCAATGGTTGTCTGTTTTTATTAACGGTATATTTTAACTTATTGCACCATTGTATTATTTGACTAAATATTGCGATTTATATATTAAGTAAAAATGAATATTACAATTGCTTGATATCAAACTGCATGTACTAATGCGTGTACAAAACATACTATGTACACTGTATATGTCCTCATAATTACACAATTTCTTCTAAATAATTATGTTAAATATTCTTAATAAAACTAAATACAATATAAAAATTCAAATTTAAAAAAATAATAATTTTCAATTATGGGTATATATGTAATATAAATCCAATTAGTATGTAAAAATTTCTTCAAACATTTCCAATACTATACATTTAAAAACAGTATTTCTATCTTCTAAAGAACTGCTGATTAAAGAATTACAAATATACTTACTGCAGAGTAACTTTAATTTAAATTTATTTTGAGGTAATAAGAATGTTTTACCAAATATAATATAAATAATTAACCAAAATCAATAATTCAAAATTTAAAATAAAAAAAAAATTGCCTGGCATTTATTCGCCTTAAACACTGCATCAAATTTTACATATAAGAATTCATATAGACATTACTGGTTGAATTCTCTGAGTAAGATTTAAAATAATAGAGCTATACATTAATATTTGATTTATTTTCAATAAAACCATACTAATGTATTCACAATTCTTGCAATATTGTACCATCGTAATCAAAAATGTCTCATTTTTCAATTTAATTAAAAATATATTGTGAACTATATCTAATTGAAATAAATAATCATAATATAAAATAATTTGAGTTAAGTATTAAATTAAAATATGTAGGAGTTATATTATATGAAATATAATCATTATGAATTGATCACGTAGGTGTACTTTATCAAAAACTATATTTTATCTTTACAAAGACTAATCTCGTTATTCAGAACTATTTAACTTTTTAGAGATATATTTTTTATAAATCTTTCAAGTTCATTTCCAAACCTATTATTTTGTCACGCAATTTTCCTTACGGTAAAATTTCACTTGCAACTAGTTTATGGTAGTTTATGGCAATAATATTTCCATATATTCAGCCTATTCAGACCTAATTAATAACAATTCAGATTCAGCTTTTGAATAAAATTGTCGGACTGGATCTCCATCAAGGATCCAAAGTTCGATTCCGCTTTGAGCAGCCGGTAAACGTGTCTTATTAATTGTTGTTATTTTTTCTTTGTTTAATAATTGAAGAATATCAATATAAAATTTCATTCTATAACATTGCCGAGGTAATTGCAATCATTCATTTTATAGAAATAATCTGAAATAATTCGTAACTTGTCTTAAGACAAAATGCCACTTGCACCTAATTAACTTGCTGTAGTGATCGCAAAAGAATTGCATATCCTTGCATTTAATAGGTTTCTGAACATGTTGGCATACGTAAAACAAATGGGTGTATGTGTGAGTATATGAGTATCCGATTTGAATGATTCAAAAAAACATTCGATCTTTATTGATGAGGATACGTGCTGATTAATGTTTGGCATAGGCAGGTCCAGTCGAATCGAAGATACAGGGCAAAAAATGCAAAAAATTGCAATTCCGTTTTTGTGAGAACGGAGCGTCCAAATTGAATGATTTTCTTGTATTGACGAAGTAAAGAATTTATCAAATTTTGAGCAAGGCATATCCAGCGGTTTTTGTGATTTAATAAAATAAAGTTAGAAAATGCCACTTAGCCGTCAAAGATATATAATAATATATTTGAAAACCGTTTAAAATTTTTCCAGCAATTTGCTTTAAGGCACGATGCCATACACCACTAATTTTATTTTACAATTATATATAAAAACGCACAAATTAATAAAACGCAAATACAATTAAAAACGTATTTAACACAAATAATACTTCACAATCAAATCAAATATATGAATCAAACAGAACTAGATGCAAATATTAGCAGTAATAATTTCGACCATCTCGCCACGAAGGTTGAATTATGATTGATTGTGAGGTACAATAAACTTTTTGTATTGCACCCTCTATGGTTCCGAACCCGAAACTATTCAATTAGATAACAATTTTTGAATTTTAGTATCATCTGGTAACAATTCACAGTTTTGTCCCTTTCTGACCTCAATAAAAGAGATGCGTAATAACAACTAGAATCATTCTGAATTTGGAGCTCGCTTGGTGGACACTACAGCCAGTGGTAAGTCTTTTGAAAAATATTTATGTATTATGTAATCATTTCGTGCATTCAGTTTCAAATACGTGTCATGGAACTTGTGTTTTGGTTGATTCGATGTAAATAGATTGAAGTAAAAATTCGTCTCTTTAATATTAAACGATTTGCGTTACATTTTCTAATTCAATATATTTGTGCTGAAGTGTCGCCTTAGTGTTTATTGTTGTGAAAATATTTAATTTTAGCCTTTGAGTTAACATAAATAATTTAATGCAATTTTTAGATTATTAAATTTAAAAATAATTAAATAATATTAAATTTTAATATAAATCTTATGTTTCAAATATTTACGATTGACTACATTTGTTTTGTTTCAGATATCATACAGTGTTTTGCGCAGTGATGGATTGCTTTAGGGATTTATTGTGCATGAATTTTTTTTTTATTCAATCACATTGACAATTTTTAATTATTTTTTATAATTTTGTTAAATTATAATTTTGAGTTATTTGCGTCCACATTTTAATTTTTTTTTTGTTCGTGCGAGGACTTATTCGTAATTTTAATATCGTTTAAGACGATTTCCGCGTTTAAATGTGTTCCTGTCGCCTACCCCCCACGGCAGGTTCTAGTAATTCGCGTTTCGTTAATAATTTTTTTTTTCATTCGGTGTATGGGTCCTTGCGATGTTTTTCCCAGAAGCAACGCAACCCCATACACTTTAATTTATGATTAGTATTATTTGTTTAATTTTTAACAATGTTTAATTTTTTGGAATTATTTTATTAGTAGCATGGATGTAAATAACTCGTCTAAAAATCTAAAAACTTTGTTAAATAAATTACTTGTTTTTATTTTGACTGATTTTTCTAATGTAATGCAATGAACATATTTTAATTAAATAATTTAAATTTTTTGTGATTGCACAATAAGTCTCCTAAACGGAGAAATGTTGAAGACGTACTGTTTGAAGTTAAAAAAAAGTATGATGATACAAAACCCTAAATTATGTAAAAAAATAACAAAATTGACATTTATTTTAGTGTAAATGGGCCTCGACTAAAGATACCAGGAGGTTGAGTACTACAACGAACAGGAGTACATATGTTGTACCGATATGATGTACCAGAGCACTGGAATAAATACGAGCAGGCTACCACATAGTATTTATAAGTCATTGTCTATTTCATTTCTTTCAAGTCTTTTTTCATTTCAGGGTTGCAGAATTAATTTCTCATCGCGACGGCAAGCACCAGGACTGCTAGGAGATTGTGGTGGATTAAAAAGGTTGAAGGTACCCTTTTTGGGGTGCGCAATGACTGCTACTTGGTACATCTTAGCATTGCGTTTACCAATATACAGGGTTTACCTTGGCGCCCCAATCTGACTTTTAATAAACACCGGTAGTTATCTGTAGAGTGCATAACTAACTACACGAATGAAACAGAATCTATACTTATTAACTTATTTAATGTTACCTAGTTGTGTTCGTCGTAGGTGCGAAGATATGACTGTATTTTTGTAGTCATGTCTTAAGTCTAAATTCTGATATACTATTGTTTTGGTTGATCAAAAAGCTTGAAATTATAGATGTGTATGATACGGCGTGATGGCAAAGGGGATCGCATACAATCGGAGAACCCTCACTTTTTTTGGATTGTGTGTTCTTCGCCCATGGAACAACACACGCACCACTACACTAACTGCCTCGGGGGCTTGTGTACTTCCGACTCGATTGACTACCTCAGAGGACTGATACTTAAAAAGTGATTGCGTCTTTGTAACGACAGCATGCAATGTTTCCAAAGGGTTGCACAACCTTTAGTGCAAACTACATCCGCCGCCCGCCTATATGGTTCCTGTCGTATGTGGTCCAGAGTCGCGATAAAGACTACATACATCATTTCCAAGGAGTTTCTAAACTAAATCCCCACCTGCCTATAAGGCTCCTATCGTATGAGGTCCGGAGTCGCGATCGTTTTTTAGTATCAGTCTTCTCAGGTGGTCAATCCAATACGGAGGACACAAGTTAGTGCATTAGTGATGGTGGTGATGTTGTGCCAGGGTGAAAGAACACGATCTAGAAAAATCCGATCGAGTTTTCCGATTTTAAGCTTTCCCCTGCGTAATTACGCCGTTCTATACATTTTTAATCATTTCTAGCTTTATCATTAACCCATCGTTAGTACATTCGAATTTAGGCTTAATGCATCACTATACATAAGTGCGGTCAAGCTTTCGGATCTGTAAACATAACTCGGTAACAATCAATAAGTTTGTAAGTAGATTCTGTTTTAATTGTGTAGTTAGTTAAAATCTCCACTGGTAACTGCAGGTTTTGTTGAGCCGAATTAGGGCGCTAAGGTAAACCCTTCATATTGGGGAGTGAGATGCTAAACATACAAAATAGCAATCTTTACACTCTAACAAGAGTACCCTCAACCCTTTCAGTTCACCTCAATATGGATACCTACAGGTTTTCTCGTATTCATAAGTTAATATTAAGTAATTAGACCTTGGTTAGATATAAGTATATAATATTTTTATTTTTGTTACCGGGGCCCCGTTTGTATGTTTGCCCCTATTTTTAGGGGCACTTGTGTTTTTCTGTGTCATTTCAGATGTCTTTCCAAGAAAATTGCTAACCAAGTGAGTACCAAGAACTACTTCCACAACCCATAGAAGAAATTGGTCAGACTAATTGATGTATCAAGACATAAAAAATATTGGCATACTGCTAAGTAATATGTATAAATCTTTTTTTTTTTTATTTCAGGGTTACAGAATTAATTTCTTTTCGCACCACAAAGCACCAGGACTTCTAAATAACTGCCAGGAGGATACGCATATTTAAAGGTTTTTATCCTATTATTGTTAATTTGATCTTATAATTAGTTATGACCATATATTCTTTTATTAATATAACCGGGGCCCCGTTTATTTGTTTGTCCCTATTTTTAGGGGCATTTGTGTTTTTTTTTTTTCATTTCAGATGTCTTTCAAAGAAGACATTGTATTGCATGTCTATATGTTTTACCAAGATATACACGAACCACTAAGAGACCACTACCGAATTAAAGGATATATACAAGTGGGTACCAACAATTACTTCTGCAACCCATACGAATAAATATAATAAAATTATATGTTTACCTCTTTTTAGGTCTTGCACGAGATTTGCCAGAAAATATCATCAACTCAAAACCAACTAGCACCACTACTATCTGAACTACCACCAACAACTGATTTGGATGATATGACATAATCGGAAGGAAAATTAACTGTGAGATAAGACTTACTATTATTATAGTAGTATATAGTTAATAACAGGTTAGGGGACGTTTTGACATTAAAATCTTCGGCCGTACCTTTTTTAGGGTTGTTCGCGTACTTTTATTCAGAGCTCAAAAGGGTGGCGTCATGAAAGAACCTCTCTTATATTTTTCGCGCTCTTCTTTACATTAATTAATTAATTATCATTTGTCCTTAAACTTCATAGGCTGGGAACCTATGAAGTTTTTTTCCAAGTGTTTACATGGTGGATCTGGGGGGTACATCATGTAAATGCTTTTTTTTTATAAATTTACAATCACCGCTAAAATACTAAAGTACACATTTTATATTGATTTTTTTCTTTGCCACGAGAGGTTTTTTCATTTTTAAAAACCGAAATTTTTAGGTACATTAGGTCGTTTCGCGGGGGTTCTTCTATTCGCGATATATTCGGGTCAGTTAAGTATAATTAGTTTGTAAGTTAGTTTAAGTGGATTAGGGCTGCACAAATCGATACTTAGTAGTATTTACACTATATCCATTTCCATCTAAAATGTTAGAAAAGTAAATATGAATAAAAGTATCTATTTATGTGGCGACACCACATTAAAAAAAACGCGCCTGGCAACTTCACCTCATGGGTGGCGTGGAAGAAAGTTGCAACCTAATTAAGTATGTACATATAATTATCAAAATTAAAATATTTAAATAATTATGTTAATTAATAAACATAAATGTGTCAATATATGTGTGAAGGTCACTGATAATTAACTAATATCGAAATATCTTAAAATAAAATTTTTGCAAAATAATCTTTGCTTTTTAATATGTGGTTAATGTTATTTTTAAATTTTTTTTCAGAACTTCATGAAGAATTATTAGATGCTTTCAGAAAGAATATTGACTATAATTATTAATTTTGAATTGATTGAAAAAATACTATAAATACTACAATGCGAAGTTATATGGTTTTTGATAAAATATATTTCATTTATTTATTTATTTATTTATATGCCGAACGGCTTTATACTTTATAAAATATATTTTATTTCTTTGCATTGTAATATTTTTTCAACCTCTAATTCAAAATCAATGACTATTATTCTTTTTAAAAGCATCTAATAATTCTTTAGTATATATACTAAACTCACATATATGTGAGATTTAAAACTTTAGTCAGAATTAAAAATAAAATTTGAAATATTTTCGATATACACAAAAAAAAATTTAAAAATAAAAAATTTGAAAAAAAAAAATTATGAAACAAATTTATTTTTTCAAAATTACTTTTGTTAAAATAAGTAGAAAGTTCTTTGAATCATTCAAATCGGACGCTTAGTTTTTTTGCACATTTAGCTGGGTATCTCCGAAACGGCTGGAGCTGCCTTTGCCAAAATTTAATTACCACTCTTCCCCATCATTACAAATTGAATGTTTTTTAGATCATTAAAATTGGATGCTCTTTTCTCTCAAAAACTCGATTTCTATTTTCTGCACTCTTTGCTTTGTAACTCCGAAATTACTATTTTAAATTACTATAACTTACCCAACACAAAGTTAAAAATTATATCTAAATAATTTAAAATAAATTGTTTAATTAAAAAAGTAAAATTTTGTCTATTAAAAAGGGCGCCTGAACGGATAGGGCCTAGGGCGGCAGGAAGCTTAATCCGCCACTGGTTATACTACTAATACGAATGCATATCAAGATTTAGAAAAAAAGTTTGTGATGTAATCGTGTTTTAATTATTTTTAATAACGGTTATTTTTTTGTTTATTACGGTTTATTGCAATGAATCTAATTAATTGACCTAAACGTAAACTTATTCTTTTCTGGTCAGTTGCGTCTAAAAATGCTATATGACAGTGGTCGGGGAACCGGGGTAAATTACCCCAAATGGGGTAAAAGTGGAATTTTTGGGGGTAAAAAGTATATATTTGCAAAACACTAAATCAGCTTCAGTAAAACCTACTACCGAAATGAATCTCTGCATTAGCAAAAGATGTGAAGTTTTTGCATTAAAACAAACTAAATATTTTGCTATTCAGCTTGAGACAACGGATTTCAGTAGTAATTCACAACTGGTATATGTTTGCTATAAAGGTGCAGATAATTTTGAAAAGAAATTGGTGTTTTGTTTTCTTCTCGAGTCCAGATGTCGTGAAATTGATATTTATAATAAAGTAAACGAATACTTCAAAGCGCAAAGATTAAAATGGGGAAATTGCAGTTTGGTGTCTTTGGATTAAGCTCCATCTATGATGGGTCATGTTTATGGTTTTTCAGCTTTTGTAAGGGAAAATGACCCACACTCATCATGTTATCAAGATTATAAATTTTATCAAGGGACGTGCACTAAATACGCGGCTATTTTGTGAATTATGTCAGGATGGTGAAGCTGAGACTTACCTTCTTTATTATACAAAAGTAAGGTGGCTCTATCGCGGAAATATTTTAAATTGAGTATGGACTCTTAAAAATGAAGCTGAAATCTCTATGGTTTCTCAAAAAAATATTCTTGCTGAAAATTTTAAAAACTCTTCCTGGGTTGCATATCTCGCATATTTAGCAGACATGAAATTTTGAAGAAAATGTGCAAGGTCATACCTCAGAAAAAATGGATGTGTGTTTTGTGTGTCCGCATTTTTTCGTTCACGTTTTCGAGCGCACGGATGAACCGATTTGAATGGTTCATTCAACATTCGGTTCCTATGGATAAGGATATATGCTGATTAGTATTTGGCAAAGGCAGGTCCAACCGTTACGGGGATACGGAGTAAAGAGTGCAGAAAATAGAAATCGAATTTTTAAGAGAACGGAGTATCCCATATGAATGATCCAAAAAACATTCAATTTGTAATGATTGGGAGAAGTAGTGATTAGGTTTTGGCAAAGGCATGTCCAGCCATTTCGAAGATACAGAGCTAAATGTGCAAAAATGGCAGTTTTTGAGAGAACTAAGCATCCGATTTGAATGATTAAAAAAACTTGCTGTTTGTGTTGACAAAACAATTACTTTTGGGAAAGAAAAATATTTCAATTTTTATTTTCAAAAAATTTTTTTTGTATATCGAAAATAATTCAGATTTTAATTTTAATTCTGGCTAAAGTTCTAAAACTCACTTATATTCTTCGAATAAATAATTTTTTTAAATTTTGTAATTCAGCTTATATATATCTTATGAATATTATACAATGTTACAGTATTTATAATAATCTAATTGGAAACATTAGAACATCCTCGAAAATTTCGGTACGGTGCGGAAAGTTCCAGCAATTTGCCTTAATGCATGATACCATACACCACTAGTTTATTCATGTATTAGTAGGATTTTCATGAAAAATATATTTATTCATAATGAATATAGTTTTTACTTATTGTTTCCTTCAAACCATTTATTGCAGCCTTTTTCAAAGTTTAGAAGTAACAAACAATGTTATGGCAGGTTATACAGAAATATGTTGCAAACAGATTCCAATTATAGGCTCTTTTAGTTAATTTTTTTTGTGGGGTAATGAGAAGTTGCACAAAAACATTTTGGGGTAACGGTTCCAAAAGTTCCCCGACCACTGCTATATGACATCAAAGTTTATCTGGTAAAAAATAATGCTGAACAAAAAAAGTCGTGTACCTATTATTTATCTGAAAATATTTAATCTAAAGATATCAAATTTAATCTGAAAACATTAATCAAAGATTTAAAAATATCCGATAGAAAGTAGTAGAATGAAAAATACCAAATGAGGTGGCTTTTGCACTAGTTTTTTTTACATTTATTGAACCTTTTTACGGTGTTTCCTCTAATCATACTTTAGATTAAGTTTGCTTTTATTATATTTCATATTTGATTAGATTTGGCCTAAGTTTCGAACTGCGTTAGAGTGAAACCGTGCTATAAAAATACCGAGTTATAAGGGGGTTATTCTCAATTCTCGAACTGCGTTATAGTGACAATACCTGTGTTGAAGTGCTGCCTTATATTGGGTTTGCTGGTATTAGTTTTTAATATGAAATATGGACTATATAAAAATATAATTCAACCATTCATTGTACTTTGCTAATATTGGCCAGCCCTGTCCTGTAAAGTATATTATACATTATGTTAATGATATCTTTTTGTGTACGCACGAAAATTCTTAACTTTGTTACGTTTATGTCAGTTTCTGTTTAATAGATAAAAAGCACCAAGTGAGTAAAAATTTATTAAGTATTTAACAAAGTCTTGAATTAAAATAAATCATTAAGTTTAAGAATATTCAACTATGGAACCGATCCTTTACTACGATACCATCAGTCCACCGGTAAGAGCTGTTTTGATGACAATAAAAGCTCTAAATTACAAAGTTGAATTAAAAAAGATTGATTTATTCAAAGTGGAGCAAAGGAAAGAAGAATTTTTGGAGGTGTGTATAAATTAAGATAATCAAGAAGTATTATTTGTCATGAACAAAATGTTTTAAATAATTTTCAAGTCGGTGTGACAGCAAATAGTGAAAAATTACTTGTCAACACTTTGCCATCGGTTTTTCGAACCTAGTGAGGTGTTGAATTACTTCTTCGGCGAAGAATTCCTCGAGATAGTCTATCGTATGTTACCATAGATGACACTACAAAATATTATTGTAGAAACTACATTCATTTTCATAATATTTGATATCTTTATAATTATATATATATATATATATATATATATATATATATATATATATATATATGTGTAAATATATCAATTTTTTTTTACGTTGCAACTTTTTTGAAAAAATTTAGCAGCCCATTTGTCGAAAAAAAAATAAGTTAAGAAAAAATAATTTTCATTGATTAAACTTTTCGACACTTGATGTTTGTCATCATTCAGTAATCTAAAATAATTGATAACAAAAATATATACATACTCATTTCATTTAGAATCTTTAATTATTATATGTTTATTGTTAACTGTTTTTGAACATGCTATTTATCAACCTCCCGAAAAAGAAGTTTGTTTCGGCCAAAAAATCCGATTTGCTAATTTTGTTTTCCTGATGTCTAACGTTATTCTGAGTCGTTTGAGCCAAAATTTAGAAGAAGTATGTGTTTGTTCATGTATATGTTTAAGTTATCCGTTTGGGTCACATTTAGTCGACGTTTTTCTCTACCAATTTTAAAAATTTAAAAGCCATTCGATAAAACTCTATAAGGATTCCTTAAACCATTAAAATCCAGAGGAAGGATAATGATCACTTCTATGAGACTATCCGTCGAGCCGTTTTTTTAGAATGCAAAATGATTCGTTCGTGTTTTCACATAAAATTTCAAAATATTATTTCAAAAATAATAATGAATAATTATTCATCAAATCGATATTTAGGAAGTAGTTGCTCCAAAGCAACATACCATTTATTTAACATATTTTGTTTACATTAGTATACTAGATCAACCATATACTTAGTTTCATATTCAAATGTGTACTTCTAAATTTGTTTAAATATTTAAATTAATTTCAATATGTATTATTTATTATCATTAGGACATCCATGAAAATGGGTAAATGTGGTCACAAAGATGTGTGATTTCATATTATTTTGCTTAAAATTTTTAATAATGTTATCTACTTATATATTAATATTTTTATCTACTTGGTACAAAAATGAATAGACTAATTTAATGTTTATTATTTTTTTAGACTAGCAATTCAATATCATAGCAAATTAATTTTTTTCAAGCCACAGTTTTGTATACTTTTTTTTGGCAACATCTAATTTAATGCTTAATTATTATTTAGACTTAAAATTCACTATCATAATATTATTAAATATATACATACAGGTCAAACACTTATACTTCATTAATTTTTTCTATAATTTACAATTGCTTACATAAAAAGTGTAAAGTGCATATTATAAATAATGATCGAAGATGATTATTTGGTGTGGCATGTTTGAAATTTCTGTATAATGTGTTTTGTATTACAATGTATATTATATTATTACAGTTATCGCCTATAGGTCGAGTACCTGTTCTTCAGGTGGGCACAGAATCAATTTCGGACAGCCATGCCATATGTTGCTTTCTGGCAGAGACTAGTGGACGATCAGGCGAAATTCTGTATCCAAAAGATCCACTTACAAGATCTAAAATTTTGCAAATGCTTTTCTTCGATTGCGACATTGCTTTCAACAGAAGCAGTGAGATAATGGTGAGTCTAATTTTATTTCTTTATTTTTGCATGGGATATATTTCAATATGTTTGCAGTGGTTTCTGTATATAATTCAAATACTGTTTTTAAGTTATTGCACCTTGGGTTTTCAATTTCATACTTAAAACAAATAATAAAACGATACAATTTGGATTTAACGGAACAATAATATGACGAAATTAATACTATATTAACTTCTTAATTAATATTTTTTCGAGAAGAGTAAGGTAATGGTCAATCAAGTATATTTAGTTGGATTTTCTTTGTTAAATATGTTCGAAGTTTGTTTTAAATATTGTAGCCTTAAATAACTTATATTTTTGATCTATAATTGATTGATATGGTTAAAGAAGTTCATATTCAAAAATAAATTGTTTAATAAAATTTGAATTAAACGGAATAATAATTCTTAATAAGTGATAATTATCTAATTATTGGTATATGATCGGTTGTGTCATATTTTTAAATATTTTTGCAAGGTATTTATTTAGTTAACTATTAATGTATTAGTTTAATACATGTACAATTTTGAATTTTACTATTTTAAAATAGTAGTGTATTATTTTAATACATTTACTATTTTATTAGTACGCGGTATACATCATCACGCCATAGTTCATTTATGTTATTATTTTTGTATTACTGTTTTTATTTTATTTTATTAACTTCCCGAAGGAGAAGTTTATGTTTTCATCAAAAAATCCGATTCGCTAATTTTATGTTTTCTCGACGTTTCAAGCCATTCTGAATCGAATGAGACCAAATTTGAAAAAAGTATGTGTGTGTGTGTGTGTGTATGTGTGTGTGTGTGTGTGTGTGTGAACAGATTTTTTGCCGTAAATCGACGTTTTCTCCAAAACGGATGGACCGATTTCAAAAATTTAAAAGCCATTCGATGTATCTCGATGAGGACTATCGTTTCTGAGTTTTGTGCGGCAATCGGCCGGGCCCTTTCTTTGTAAATTGCAGAAAAGTGAAAAATTTTTCGTCCACGTTTTAGCCCGCAATTCTGAATCGATTTCGAAAATTCAAAAACCATTCGATAGATATTAGTTGGGAATCGTGCTGATTAGTTTTTGGTAGAGATTTGGTTTTCTTGTAATAAAGTTTTTAAAAAAAAAATTTCGACGATTTTTATGATTATTTTTTTGACGGTAGATACCATAGTCTTCTAGATCATACTAAAATATTACGGCCCTACGACAACTCGTTTAGCTTTAAAAATTCGTCAAAGTTTGCAAAAATTAGTATGGTCTTTTTGGCATTTGTCAAATTTAGAATTTTCATCGACGTTTTCTCAAAAACGCCTGAACCGATTTCAGATATTTAAAAAGCATTTGATGTATCTCGATGAGGATTATCGTTTCTCAGTTTTGTGCGACGATCGGCCAAACCGTTTCTTTGTAATTTGGAAAAAAGTGTTAAACTTTTCGTCCACATTTACGCCCATCCTACCGAACCGATTTTAAAAAATCAAAAACTGTTCGAAAGATATCAGTTGGGAATGGTGCTGATTAGTTTTAGGTAAAAATCTACCGAGCCGTTTTCTTGCAATTAACTGTTGAAAAAAGTGTTAAATTTTCGTCCACATTTACGCTTATCCTACCGAACCGATTTTAAAAAATCAAAAACTGTTCGAAAGATATTAGTTGGGAATGGCACTGATTAGTTTTAGGTGAAAATCTACCGAGCCGTTTTCTTGTAATTAACTGTTGAAAAAAAAAAATTAGGGTGATTTTTATGGAACTTTGTTTGGTGATGTATATCATGGTCTTATAGAACTTACTGAATTATTACGGCCTTACGACAAGTAGTTTAATTTTAAAAATTCATCAAAGTTTGAGAAAATAAGTAGTTTTTTTTTTTGACGTTTGTTAAAAATTAAATTAGATGATTTAGTTGGTATAACGATAGTGTACTTGGTCTTGAACATAGTAAACCATTAAAGTCCTACGGAAACTGGTTCAATTACAATTATTGATTAATTAAAATGATTGATTTTTGAAAATTTGCTTTTAGAAAATACTCCGAGTTAACGTGTTTGTTCATTCGTTTGCAATGATGTGTAATAAATCCACTCGGAATACTTTTAATCACTCATAAATTAATTTATTTTTTATTGATTAAGTCGATTATTTACACATATCGGGAAGTTCATGTAACTTGCCTCAAGGCTAAATACCAAACCAACTAGTTTTATTTCATTTTATTTTAACTTTTTGCATTTTATATTCAATTTATTGTATTTTTTGTGTTATTTCTTTTTTTTGCACATAATCAAATAATTTTTTGCACCTAAAAAAATAATAGATTTTGTTATATGAGCATTTTCATAATCGATCATTGTGTTTTCCGCTTATTTTAATTTTGGAAACATACCTTGTAAAACCTCAAAATGCAAAAAAAATATTTTCTCGAGATTTTATGATTTTCTACTACCTTAATGATATTCTTTTATTATTAGATTAGATTTTTAAATATTATATAGTCATTTATTAAAAAAAAAATAAGTGTATGTAATAAATAATTTTTAGAGAGCAGCTTTTCACAGAAAAATTAGTGATGTATCCGAAGAGCATTTGAATAAGATTCATGAAGTGTATCGGTTATTAGAAAAGTTTTTGGAAAAATCAAAATTTTTAGTTAATGACACTGTAAGTAATCTGATTAAATATAATACATTAACTAAAACTGCAATTAAAATCGCTACTTGCAAATAATAGAATAATATTTTATTCTAAAATTGTATGATAGTGTTTCAAAATTATATTTTTTTTGTTTCAAGATAACACTTGCGGATATAAGTATGATATCTACTATAGCATCCTGTGATATTTTAATACCAGTCAGCAATGAAACTCCAAAGTTATTAGCTTGGTTTGAATTTTGCAAAAAATTACCATGGTATGAAGCAAACATAGAAGGTTTGCAAAGAGCTAAAGATTATCTTAAGAATACAGCTTTGGCTTCGTACATAAAATAAAAAGTGTACAATATCAGTAGTAAATATTATAGATAAATACATAATAGTTATTCATATTATATAAAATATTTTATTAAATAACTTTGTTTAAATGAAAATTATAAAGTTTTATTTGAAAAATCAAAAATATTTTGTAAGATGATTCTAAAATTTTAGTCATATTTTAGTAGGCTAATAGAGTGCATCGACACGGACAAAAATACTCATAACATTTTTGCCCAAACGTTTATGATTATACATAATGATATTTTATTACATAAGATATTTTATTCCCCTTATTTTTTAATCATTTATAATCAGATTAGCAAATTAACAGGGCATTTATGAACATATTACAAATTATAATTATTTAATTGTAAAACTTGAATTATCATATATGAATATTGCACTTATTTCCAATCCCTTTGCGAGTCACGTCAAATTATCAGGTCGTAATTTTTCTTTCACATTATTAACGTATTTAATACACTAATTTTTATATTTATAAGACAGAAATATCGCAAGGGTATCTTTATGCTATTTAAATATAATTAAATATATAATTAAGTAATTTAATTTCCTGTTGTATTATTTTATAGCGTGGGTTATCTATATGGTCATGCAATAGATATGTAAATGTAATTATAAGAAATCATATTGCATACAAGATATTTATTTAATTTATGGAAAATTGAGTGCTCTTTCCATGAAAGACTTGATTTGAAAAGAGATCAGTAAAAAAGAAATGAAATTGTTAATAAATAGAAAGAAATATGATAACCTGATAATTGGACGTAACCCATGAAAGGATTGAAAATAAGGGCTATACTCATTTATGATCATTTAGTTTTGCAATTATTAATTGCCAATTAAATAATAATGTTATTTATATACTATAGCTATTCATGATTTATAAATTATATAAGTAATATTTGTTCTTAAATACCCTGTTGATTTATTAATTTGTGATCTAAATTTATCTATTAAAAATAAGTGAAAAGAAGATGTTGATTGTTCTAGCATAGACGTTTGAAGTATTTTTGTCTAGATCGATTTATTTATTATAAATTATAAATTTGATCATGAGATTATGACCTAATTTTGGAGTCATTCTACAAAATATTTTTAGTTTGGATATAATTAATCATCATTTGAAATTGACTGAAAATTTATAACTATACTTTATGCAGAAGCGTATTTTGTTTCAGGTCGAAGATTTTTGTCTTTTTTATTTCCTTATTGATAATTTACAGGTTAAATGTAAGGAACTTATGCAGCCCGTAAAAATTGAAACTGGGCAATATTTTAAGCTATATAAATATCATTTATTCATTGGAAATGATTCATTTCCATTAATGACAAATATGTTTGGCAGCTGCCAAACTTATTGTTAGACTATTTGGACAATGTCGAATTTACATACGTCATGTAACATAATATTTTACATATTCCATCCAATATAGAAAAATTACACGAACTGAATTATTTTATTTACCATAATTACCACTTTTGGCGGAAACAATATACCTGGTGTGTTTCACCTGGCCATTAAAATCTCCAATGTGCTCGTAATTCCGAAGACAAGTTTAAATCGTTTTTATGATGCGATTATTCAGAACAACATGTTCGATTATACCTTAACGTCGACAGTTGGTCATTTTCGCATTTAAAAATACATAACATTTTCCAAAGGCCGAGTCGGGCTGATACCAATCGCGTATTATAATAAATATACATGTAACGGGGAAAGAGGTGTTTATTAAGTAGTTATACTCTATTATTGTGTATGTTGCTATTATAATAGGAGAGCTGGCACACAGGAAGGAGAATATTTGAAAATTATAATAAATCTGATTAAATGTTTGGTGAACGTAGTCTTGTAAATGAGTATTATAAATACTTTCATTTTTTCATTACAAGTTATTTTTCAATACAAAACGAATAATTATTTAAAATAGTCTTAATAAAACAAAATAAATTAAATTACATATATAAATTTTGAAGGAAAAAACATGAAAAGCTGGTACAAGTTAGAAGTAAGTAAGGAGCAGTCCATCAATTGCATAAGGTTTAAAAGGGAACTAGTCTAGTAAAGCAACACGTGTATTCATTTTTGTACCTGAATTTAAAAAAAATCAAAAATCTTCAAGAAAAAATAAAAAAAAATTACGTTTTTTTTGTAGGTACTAAATAAGCGCGATGTGTTGGGTAGGGGTGGAAAGAAAATTTTAAAATCACCATAAGGAGTTCAAATATCCTTAAAAATCGATCACTTGATTAATGGACGCCGCCTTAGTAGGTAGTCAAATTGGATATTAAAATGTTATAAAATTTTATAGTTTTGGGCAGAGATGAGTAATTTTTTCTCCCTATTAGCCGCCTGTCTACATGTTATTATATATGATTGCATTAGCGATTACAGGTCGGTGCACTCCCATCTTGGATATTATTGACACGGTCGAATCCCACATTACCGATATATTAGCTGCAAGCAAAAGCATATTGCGTGATGTGATGCTGTTTTCTGTATTCTGTGCCCGGTAATCTTACCTTTGCCGCCCGTCATCTAAATCACAGGTGGACAAACGTAAGTTTTAAAAAATCAGCAGTTTGTAAACCAGAAATTTGGCATTCTGATATGCAGTGAACATAACTTACTATTCAATTTAAACTGTTCACCGCCTAGAAAAAAGTGTAATTCAAAGTCCCAAAACTCAACTCAACTCACTCGAGCTTCGTTCAAACTATAACCATTTTTTGGTCGATGTGGAAAATTTTTATTATTTTTTATTCATTTAAACTTTAGGACCGTAATCGTAAAATAATATTTGCATAACCACAGTCAAAATTAATTACACAATTGCCCCCAGTTTTCTAGTATTTAGACTTTTTTAAACTATGAATTTAACCATTTCAAAACTAGTCGGCTTTTAAAGGCCGCCCTTTATAAAAACGTATTAAAGTGTTTTGGCAAGCATAAAAAAATTGGCACATTTAATCAGGATTGTAAATAACTTAAAAAAACACTATTTTTGATAATGCATTGAGATTGGATGTATATATGTGTATATAACTTTCTCAACTTCATAACAATAATCAATTTTTATATTCAATTAACACCTTTGATTAATAAACTTTGGTTATGGTTAAATTTAATTGCTAATTAATAAATTTACTAACTGTCAATTTATAAATTTTATAAAATATTAAATTATTAAATATTAACAGGCAAAATTATTAGGAGCACATAATAGATGGATCTTTTAAGAATTGGACAATTGATTAAGAATTTTATGGTTTAATTTATTATATTGAACCTATAACTAACAACGTATATCAATTTTTATTAATGCATTTTTATTAATGCAAACATTTGTTATTATATTTATTTGTTTAATGAGTCTTTTGAGTAATCACTAAACATTTATAATTTTTTTTTACAAATCAAACTATTGTACATTTTTCTTGCAATATATCATTCCAAAATACAGGGTGGTCCATCTAGTAGTCTTAATGATCTAGTGATCTTACGGTTTAGATATTTCTGTAAAGAAAACATATGAAGTATTATACATCGTTAAAAAGGTCTCAAAATTCTTAGTTTTCCATATATCGCAACTTTGCATTCCGCACGATGTGGCCTACAGGCAAGTTGCTATCGATAAATTTCAATTTTTAAATGGGCCACCTTATTAGAAGTATTAGAAGTACCTACCTCTTCGTCTCATCAGCTCATATCAAGAACATAAATTTCTAGTTTATATCCATTTATGCATTACAATTCCTGAGCAATTATTTCAAAATCTGATAGTTGAAAAATAATAAAAAATATATTTTCTAGTGTATAACATTGAAACCTTAATCAACAAATTTGATTAATTTACTTTTGAAATTAGTTATATTTGCTAATCAATACATATATTGAGTAATTACCAAATATTTATACAGGACATTAAACTTTTTTTTTAAATTAAACTTTGTAGTAATTGACCATGAAAATATTAGAAGTACATAATATTATTAGATAAACTTCTAATCATCTAGTCAGTATTCATTTAAGAATTTGTAAAAAAAGGTTTTATGACAATGTGGATTATTACAAACTAATCAATATTAAATAATAAAATTTTATAAATTTTGTTATTTAATATAAATCTATATAGAGGAATAAAAATCTCTGTTTTTTGGTTATTAATCATATTTGAATATCAACAATTTTTATGTTTATTATTATCTCCTATAGCCAACTTCATGGCTATCATAATAATCTCCTGCGATGTACCTCCATGGTTCCATGTTATTCATTGCTGTCGGGTATGATGTCTTTATTATCGTGAACTCCGTCGTGTTCACTTCAGCAGTGTATGTGTGTGTGATATTTTATAATCGTTTTATTCTCTTGGACATACACCATATAGTATTGAGGTACAGTGTCGAATTGTGAAATAATTATGAACAATCATTTGTGTAATTAGTGAAACTCGATTCACCTGAACTGATTCTTCTGTTTCACCTAGGAGTCAAGCATTCAGGTGTGTGCAATTTTTTCTGGTATTTGACAAATTTCTGTAGTTTGAGATGATACAAACAATTATATAATGCCTCCGGAATGATTTATTTATACTTGCAAAGCTAGATATTGTATTAAATTCATAATTCACGTTAAATATTTTAATGTTTAACTGAATTGAAAGAAGTTTCTTGTGTTCACTTGCATTGAAGTCTCGAGTCCTAGTGGTTAAAACTACAAAACCTAATGTGCAAAACAATGTACTAAATACCTAAATAAAATATAGAAAGTAATGAACTTTATTTCTATTTTATATACGAAACACAAACTAATTAGAGAAAAATTAAGTTTCTATTTGTTTCTGTAAGAAATTTAAAGTATTAAGACAAGACATTAAGATTATATGCGTAGGGCGTAGCAGGATTCTAGTAAGAATTTCCTTATCCAGCTGCTCAAAATAAATTTTCGAATAAAATAGAAATGTTATGTTACGGGTCAATAATCGTATGAGTTGGTGATAACAAAATGTCGAGAAGTATTTAGAAATAATCAAGGTTATTTCAACTTTATATACGAAACACAAGCACAAAATAAATTGTCAAGAAGCATTAGAAATGATCAAGGTTATTTCTACTTTAAATGCGAAAGACAAACTAATTATACGAAAATTAAGTTGCTATTAGTTTCTATAAAAAAATATTCCATAAATTATTCTATAAAGTATTAAGACATCACATTTCTATTCGTAGCAGGGTTCTACTAGGAATTTTAGCATCAAGCTGTTCAAAATAAGAGGCCAATTTTCGAATAAAATAAAAATGTTATGTTACGGGTCTATAATCGTATGAGTTGGTGCCCACAAAAGTATGTATGTCTTTGCTCTGCGATCAAACCTTTGGCTCTAAATCTACTTTCAAAGCCTAATCTCCAAAAGCACGATAGTCAAATAATAATTCTATCATAAGTGCCATTCGCTGTCGTCACTTTGATAACACGTACGTCAAGTCGGGCTAAAGGTAATATTTGTTTGTACCATTTGAAGGTTAGGTTTTAAAAATTAGTATAGTGTAAAACGCTCGATCAAGAGCGTTTTATCAACTCATACGACGATTTTATCAGAGAATTAGCCTTTTAAAGCCACTCTTAAGTTGTACTTATAAATATCTTGCACTTATATAAATGTGAAAACAACTAATGTCATTTCGACAATTTTGGCATTTGGAGGTTACGTTCTAGCAATAGAATGCTAAATATGCGTTTTGTGACTGTGGGTGCATCGAAGATACCAAATTTTTAATATACATTAACTTGTGACATGTTATGTTACTATGGGTGACGGGTAACATAGCATATCTATTTTATACGAGAATTGGCCCGGTCATCTATATTAAGCCTGAGTTGAAATATATAGTTTCGAATCGAAAATGGCAAATTAAGAGGCCAAATCTGCGGTGAAAAGCAGAAAAAATAGCGTTGTTATTGCAGCACTATCTTATCATTGTTTCTTGGTACTAAAAACTGTGAAAATGCTATCTATATGCTGTGCGATAAGGTGTATTTTACATATAAACAAACGAATAAACATAGAAAGATATTATCATAACTGCATCTTCTATGATACGCATTTATTACACTTTTTATGTGTAAAACGCCTGATTGTTTAGAACAATAGATAGTATTTTGCACAGTTTTTAGTACCAAGAAATAAAGATAAAATAGCATTGCCATAACAACGCTATGTTATCGGCTATGTTACCGCAGAATTGGTTCCTTAATTTGCTCTTTTCGATTCGAAATTATATATTTTAACTCAAACTTAACATAGATTAAGAGGCCAATTCTCGCATACCGCAAAATTTATCCCTACTATTGTGGATAATACTTCTCGTTTTGTATTATTTATAATTATTTCTATGCTCTTAATTAAACAAAAAGTAAATATTGTGTTATTTTTACTATTAAAAATAATTTTTACAAAACGGTCATCGTCCAATTCGACTCAGTCATTTTCAACTTAACGAACTCCTCGCGGCCTCGCGGCTTGATATTATTTTTATCTCCCAGAAGAACTTGTCATGGATGTTAGATACACATAGATTGCAGCCTACATGAAAAAATATTCGATTTATTGTAATACATGAAACGATAAAATCGAAGAATTGTTTCTCAATCTAAAGCATTCTGGTTTTATCTCTCAAAGAGCATCATGGGATGCCAGCACGATGAGAAATAAAATTATTGATATTTTCAATGTTTTCGCAATGTAATCGACATAGATTAGATAAAAAATAATGAAAAATTATACAAAATTAGCGCCCGCTGCATAATTTCCCAAAAGTAAAAATTATGCACTCATTAATTAAAAATTTCCTAGTAGGTCTAGTTTTTTTTATAACTTCATTAGATTGAGTGAACACCCTAATAACTTAGCAAGTACGTTATTAGGACAAATTCAACACAGAACAATTTTATTACAATCATAAGATTAGTTTTTTGGTTTTTTTGCACTTTATGAACAATTAGTTTATTGTAAGACTCTTACATTATTGATTTTATGTATTGATATATAATCAACCAAATTAAAAAAAATCTCTTACTTCGTTATTATTTAATTTATAACATTTTCTAAAATAGATCTTTCGTATTAAATCAGATGTAACAAATATAAAACCTGATGCTTTATATTACATTCGTATGAGTTGTTCGTAATACTATAAAGAAATAAAAGTTAGATCAGTTAAAAGCAAACTAGTTTCTTGGCGTCGTAAATATCACTCTGATAAAACTGGCTTAAGAAAATAAAATATATTTTAACTTGCTCGTAGTACACGTATCAATTCTATATATTATTAACAACATTAACATTTAATTACATATGTTCAGACGTCTTTACTTTTATATAATATTATTTTTCTACAACGATCGAAGTAATTTAAAATTTGCAATCGCCTGTAATCATTTTAATTGCCATTTATTTTACGAAATTCTGGAAAATGAGGTTGTCCCTTACATTTATTGATGTATAGATCGTTATCATTAATAACTAGTTCGATCAAAATCGTAATAGGTATCTGATTATTATAAAGACTTCAATCCGCTCTTACAAAAAATATATAAACCTATCTTTCAGTCTATCTAACTAATATGATAATATAAAAACATAAACCTAATCTTATATGATGATCAGCATTATTATGATTTGTGATTAATCAATACTTAGAGTCAAACTATAATTGATCAGTCAAAATGATCAATGATGGTTGAATAACTTATTTTCATTTTAAACTGCAGTACTCATTACAATTTCTTATGTATTTTTTTCATTCGGTTTAGGGGAATGCAGTAGAATTCAATCTTATTTGGTAAAGTACACAATTCGTTTTATATGGTAATTATCATAAAGTTATTGGATATTTTCAGAATGATTTTCATTTTAAATTGTCTATTCGTTCAATCCATCTATATATTGCGTATCTCGAGTTAGTTGGAACTATCGTTTTATTTTTTAATTTTGGTTCACTTCTTAGAAACTGAGAAGTATATGGATTGTTAAATGATTTAATTAGACATTGTTGCTTTCGGTTCAATACCCTGAGATATCATCCCTATCTCATTTGCTTAAATAAATATTTTATTAAATGAGAATCTATCCATGATAACTCGTCCTAAACCGGGGCCGTTGATCTTTACATTTTTAGACTTTTACAAATTTTGTGGAAAAGAAATTTCAAAAACAGTTTGAAAGATATTCATTAGGAATTGTGCTGATTAGTTTTCTTGTAATTAACTATGGAAAAAATTGACGATTTATATGAAACTTTGTGATGATAGATAACATGGTCTTATAGAACATACTACAATATTACAGCCCTACGACCAGTAGTTTAATTTTAAAATTTTAACGAGGTTTGAAAAAATGAGTGGCGTTTTTTAAACGTTTGTTAAAGTGAGACCTTTCATCGACATTTTCTCAAAAACGGCTGAACTGATTTCAAAAATTAATAACCCTTTAGATGAAACTTGGTAAGAACCCACGTTGGTTAGTTTTTTGGTAATTAGCAGAAAAGTACAATTTAAGAATCAGTAAAATTTGTGTCAAAATCTAACAAGAGTCCAATAAGATCCTAATTAAAGTCCATTATAAATCTAATAATTATACTATTATTCTATTTTTTATGACCAAGTTTCAATTTATTAGCTCTAGTACATCTGTCCAAGTACCTCCAGTTTTCCTAATGTTCTTCCAATATGGTCTTATAACCAGACCTTTTTACACGTGTTCGAAGCATATAATTCTTTTACCGATATGTGAGAGGAGAAGCAGATACAATGGTCTTCCAATTGTGATGTGTTCATTATCTTTGCCCTAAGTGGAATTAAATTTATAACTACGCCGTGCGTGTTGGAAAACGAGCGTGTGCATCAGGTCGGTACGATGGTCAACGGCCAACGTTCCCAAACTTCCAAAAACGAACATTATCCAAGAAGAAAATGGTAAAATATAGTTTTGGAAATGCTTAAAACTACTTCTTAGTTATGGTAATGGATTTTTTGTATATATCATTAACAGCAATCAGAAGACATTAGTCATATAAAGTTGTAGTGATGACTTCTTAATAACTGGATCGATTATAGATGTCATTCTAACAGTTAGCCTATTTTTTTTATGAAATTATTTTTAAAATAACTCTAATTCTAACTATGGTATCTAACTGATGACTATTTTATTGGATGCTGCAATGCAGGTGAAAGCTATTTTTAACTGGAAACATATTGCTATCTATATTTTCAATTGAAACCCGATGTCAGTACTGCTTCCCATCAAGCTGTGCTGGTTAACGAACCAATTGAAAGCCCATAACTGTAATCAGTAAACTGCGGGCCTCAATAATTATTTATTCATCAAATTGTTCAACTTGTACTTACATTAACAGATTCTACCATGGTCAACGTTGACGTTCCCAAACTTCCTAAAACGAATGTCGCCCAAGAAGCAGCAAAAACTGCTTCTGTCTTATATAA